ATTTGGTTACCTGCTGTGCATAGCTGCTACTTGTAGTGCGCTCACATACCATTTTCCTTTTGAGGAAGGACTGCCTGATCCCACAACCACTGTCTTGCCAGTTCCTGATTATTACTAGAGCCCAGGTTGGGAGCTTTCATTGATACCTCAGACGTCGTCCATGGATGGAAAATGTGAGCGTTAAGGCCCAACTTCTTTCCTCTGCACAGATGCTATTCATGGGGGAAAGAGATTAATCAAAACTACAGATGATTCCTTAAGATCCCTTATAAAATTTCCATTTTTGCTCTTTTCAGGGTGACTCTGGTGGCCCCCTTGTGTGTGAGAGGAGCGGAGCCTGGACCCTGGCCGGTATTGTCTCCTGGGGGCAGCTCTACCTGTGCTACATCCTCTCCCGGAGTCTACGCCCGCGTCACCGTTCTCAGAGCCTGGGTGGACCAGACTGTTGCTGCCAACTAAATACCATCCGATGTCTTTCTGATACCCAATAAAGCAACTTTTAAACTAATATTTTGCTGTGGATTTTCTTTTACTTTTAGCGCTCACCCCAGGGAGCCCCCCCGCTGATGTTTGGGTTCTTCTGGTGTTAATGACCCACTAGATACTACCATGCTTTCTGACACACTCAGGTTGAAAGAATGCCAATAAAATGTTTCATGACAGAGGCAATAAACAGTGCATACAGTAACACAACCTATAAATGACATAATATCAGAACAGGGGCGGACTGACCACTTGGGAACTTGGGCACTGCCTGAGGGGCCTGGGGTCAGTAGGGGGGCCCCATGCGATTCCCCTGGTACATTTCATAGACTTTTTTGGGTGTGGTTTAAGTGTGGGCGAGGACACAGGGGTCCCATGATCTCCTATTGCCCGGGGGCCCCATGAGGTGTCAAGTCCTCCCCTGTATCAGAATCATGTATAATGGATGCCCAACAACCTGATTCAAGGACAAAGTTTAAACCTCCTAGGCCCTGACAAAAGGGGTACCCTAACTATTGGAATTACACACATGGGCTATAAAGACACAGCCCCTCCTTGTCAGCATCCTACTGACCGGGACAGATTTCCCAAGAGGCACTGTAGGCATCTGCCTACAGGCACCCTTTCTAGAGGGCAACCTTTCTAAATGAGTTTTTTTTCTCTTGACAGTTGTCCCGAGGAGTCCTGGAAATAAAGGTCTGTCACGGACAGCGGAGCTGCTTGCAGTGAACTTAGTGCAGATGGTGCCAAAACAGTTGCATGCTGGGCAGGGAGGGGCGGAGAAAACAGATATAACTTGTGGCACACAGATCCTTCCCCTTCTTCCTCTGGCTCCCCCAGCAGCTGACCAAGCGGCTCTATTGGCAAATTGAGGCTTGCAATGATTGGGCGGGGACTCGGGAGGGGGTGATTGCACCACCCGGCTGTCTTCTGGAGACACTGTGTCCGAAGCCAATCCCTCTCCAGTAGGTACTGGGGGAGAGAAGCGAGCAGAGGAGTCCAGGCCGGGGACCGCCAGAATCTCTCTAAGGGGAGCAGAGGGGGCACAAGCAGTGAGTCCCTGTCAGTGATCAGAGTGGAGGAGTCTCAGAAGAGGGGGGGGGGGGAGGGGGGGAGCACACTGAACAGGTCACTGTGTACACAATGCAACATCACCCCCTCCACAGAGATGTGAGGGGGCTGTGGTCCTCCCCCACAATGAAGGGGAACCTCTGCCATCCCTTATGTAAAGGAGAACTCTGATGTAAGAGGAAACACTGCGGACCCTGATGTAAAGGGGAGGGGGGCCTTGGTGACCAGAGACCCCCTTACATCAGAGTTCTCCTTTACATCACAGTCCACAGTAGCCCTTTACATCAGGGTTTCACTATACATGAGGATCCGCTGAGGCTCCCCTTGCACTATAAGGGGGAACCCTGCTGATTCTGATGTAAAGGGGAACTTTGAGGACTCTAATGTAAGGGGAACTCTGGGGACTCTTGTGTAAGGGTGACCAGAGACCACCATACATCAGAGTTCTCTTTTACATCACAGTCCACAGTAGCCCCTTTACATCAGGGTTTCACTTTACATTAGGATCTGCTGAGGCTCCCCTTACACTATAAGGGGGAACCCTGCTGATTCTGATGTAAAGGGGAACACTGAGGACTCTAATGTAAAGGGAACTCTGGGGACTCTTGTGTAAGGGTGACCAGTGACCACCATACATCAGAGTTCTCCTTTACATCACAGTCCACAGTAGCCCCTTTACATCAGGGTTCACTGTACATCAGGATCCGCAGAGGCTCCCCTTACACTATAAGGGGGAACCCTGCTGATTCTGATGTAAAGGGGAACTTTGAGGACTCTAATGTAAGGGGAGCTCTGGGGACTCTGATGTAAGGGGTCTCTGGTCACCCTTACGCAAGAGTTCCCCTTTACATTACAGGCCGCAGTGTCCCCCCCTTTACATCAAAGTCCCCAGCTTTCCCCTTTACACATGTAAAGGGGAACTTCAGAATTCTGCCTACAGGCTGTTGAGATGTAAGTCCAGCCCTGCCTGCTGACCAGTGGTAAGTATCTATCAGTGGCTGGTATTGGGATCCAAAGAGAATTTCTTGTAATCCTTCAAGAAAGGGGAAACACTGGATCCCTGGGAGCCCCAGAAAGGGGGTAGTGTGCTGAACCTTTAAGAAGGACTATAACTAAGATGGTGGCCGAAGGCCTCTCACCCCTCTGTAGTCCATCCTACAAATTCATCCGACTCATGGTGTGCCTGGATCAGTGCCATACAAGGCCAGGCGATTTCTTGCAGTGTCTATGGATGAAGAGTAGCAGAGACACCAGATGTAACAGTACATATCCTGGATACGGACACCTTTCCTGCTGCACACTGAGCCTTGTAGTCCCACAGAAACTCACAGACCGAGACACCACATTGGACAGGAAAACCTACTCTCACCAACCGCCTGCAGTCCCATTGGTCCCTCTGTTCTATGGGCTGCTGTTAGAAACCACACGGGGCCCCATATAGCCAACCTGACAGCCCCCCCCCCCCCGCTAAAAAGAAAACTGTTTTCTATGCTTCAATTATGAATGAACACAGTGAGTAACAGGTACCAATCACTCATGTTCATTCAGGAAAGAAAGGGGGTGGTAAATGTGACATACAGTATTTACCAGACCTTCCCCCACTCTCCATCCTGAAGGATCCTATTGGGTGGGAAGAAAAGGGAAGCTGGCACCACTGTGGGGGTGGGGGTGGGGGCATCGGGGGGGGGGGGGATGGGCAGCAGAGAGAAACATATGGTGCACAGGAAGGGTGATTGATGTGGCGGGGTAGCAATTACTGGAACTGATCCCCTGTGTGGTTCTCCCTGCAGCAGCTGAGAAACCAGCGGGGAGGGAGGAGGAGAGAAAGCCAACTTTCAGCTGCTGCAGAGAGAGCCATACAGGGGATCAGTTCCAGTAATTGCCCCCCCCCACCATGCTGATCAACTTCCCTGTCCACATTTGATTCACCCAGCTGCCTGACGCCCCCTGCTGGCCTGGACCCCGTACAGGAGGACTTGTGGTACCCCCTTATCCACGGCCCTGTCTATGGATGAGGCCAGTCACGTTTGGACTTAACACCGGCATTTTGGATGTTTGTCTGAACACCAAATGTTTCGGGCATTCGGATGAATGTGACACTAAAGGTTGTCAGTGGTTGTAAGTAAACAGCTGATGCTTGCAACCATCATGTCCTTACCGACCACTGATGTCACCCAACCCGTTCACTTAGAAATGGGTCAGAAATCCCTGGCCACGTAAGTTAATTTGCTGGCGTCAGAAGGGTTACATCATTGCCTAAATAGGGCCACTTGGCAAAATTTGGGCAAAACATTGCACAAATATGTCACCAGTATCCCTGCCACTTTCACTTACAGTAGACCAGGTGGAAGAACGAACTGACCACATGGAGAGAAAAATGGGGGATTATATTACAGCACACAAGCTAGTCGATACTTACCAGGCCCAAGCTCAGGAGATAAGAGGACTCAAAAATAAAATTGCTGATCTTGAAGACAGATTGGGGAGAAACCTTAAATTCGGGGCCATACCAGAGGAGATACCCTAGGACAAGCTGATTCCATATCTTCAGCAGCTCTATAAACCATTCCATCTCTGAGCGCTCCTCAGAAACCTATCATTGATTGAGCGCACAGAATTGTTAATCCTGAACACATCCTTCCTGCGGTCCCCAGAGATGGACTAGATAGAGAACATAAAAGATCAACTCATGTCCACCTCCAGGAAGACTAGTACACTCCCAGAGCCATAGAAATAATTCTCTATGTTCAGATATTTCTGCATCTAGAGACAGAAATCATTAAAAAATGTAACAGGTGATTTCGGTGCGCAGAGGACTTCCTACAAATGGGGCCATCCAAACGTTGCCTATCTCTTATCAAAATAAAATCATATCCATTATGTGTCCGGGCTCTGTCCACAGCAGAGGTACCTGGAGACCTGGCATTCCTGCCAGTACCTTGCATGGCTGCAGAAATGCACGCTGGTGAAAATCGATTGATTTTAATGCACGGACGCGAGCCAGAAAATGTTTGCACACTGGCGCATAGTTACGCCCGCATTAGCCCAGTTTGGAGTCAGATGGCCTTTATAAAGAGGCCATCACTCCCTCAAATTGCTGGTTGATCTCTGCCTCCCCAGTACCTTTGTCTGTGTTCCCTTTCTGCTATGATCTGCTGTTACTGATTTGACTTGTTCCTGGACCTGTCTTCTCTGCCTGACTCCTGATCTGACCCAGCCTGGCTAATAGATATTCTCATTGGCTCTCCTGATCTGACCCAGCTTGGCTAATAGATGTTCTCACCTGCTCTCCTGATCTGACCCGGCTTGGCTAATAGATGTTCTCACCTGCTCTCCTGATCTGACCTCGGCTTGGCTAACGGATATTCTTACCTGCTCTCCTGGTCTGACCCGGCTTGGCTAATAGATATTCTCACCTGCTCTCCTGATCTGACCCCGGCTTGTCTAACGGATGTTCTCACCTGCTCTCCTGATCTGACCTCAGCTTGGCTAACGGATATTCTCACCTGCTCTCCTGATCTGACCTCGGCTTGGCTAACGGATATTCTCACCTGCTCTCCTGGTCTGACCCGGCTTGGCTAACGGATGTTCTCACCTGCTCTCCTGATCTGACCTCAGCTTGGCTAACGGATATTCTTACCTGCTCTCCTGGTCTGACCCGCTTGGCTAATAGATATTCTCACCTGCTCTCCTGATCTGACCCCGGCTTGTCTAACGGATGTCTCACCTGCTCTCCTGATCTGACCCCGGCTTGTCTAATGGATGTTTTCACCTGCTCTCCTGATCTGACCTCAGCTTGGCTAACGGATATTCTCACCTGCTCTCCTGATCTGACCCAGCTTGGCTAACGGATATTTCTCACCTGCTCTCCTGATCTGACCCCGACTTGTCTAACGGATGTTCTCACCTGCTCTCCTGATCTGACCTCGGCTTTGCTAACGGATATTCTCACCTGCTCTCCTGATCTGACCCCGGCTTGTCTAACGGATGTTCTCACCTGCTCTCCTCATCTGACCTCAGCTTGGCTAACGGATATTCTCACCTGCTCTCCTGATCTGACCCCGGCTTGTCTAACAGATGTTCTCACCTGCTCTCCTCATCTGACCTCGGCTTTGCTAACGGATATTCTCACCTGCTCTCCTGATCTGACCCCGGCTTGGCTAATAGATGTTCTCACCTGCTCTATTCTGATCTCTACTGATCTCCCAGGCTTGGCTAATAGATATTTCTCACCTGCTCTCCTGATCTGACCCGCTTGGCTAATAGATGTTCTCACCTGCTCTCCTGATCTGACCTCGGCTTTGCTAACGGATATTCTCACCTGCTCTCCTGATCTGAACCAGCTTGACTAATAGATGTTCTCACTCACTCTCCTGTGTATGACCCCAGCTATCCTATTGACTATGTCTGCTCCAATCTCCATCTAGCATCTGACCTTGGCTTTGAACTGACTACTCTGTAGTCCTCTGCTACTCTGAAGGCCTGGATACCTCTCACGGGCGTCACCTGTCTGCAAACTCCATTCCAGTGCATCAGCTGTGCTCCTGGGTGTACCTCTGACAAGCACTCCTACAGGAGACCCGTGCTACTTTGGGCCTGACTCCTGTTCCATATCCAGGGGAGTCTGAAATTTAGTTGCAAGGGAAGCCCTCTCTCCATTGGCCTTTAACGCCAGGTACGTGATATCATGACTCCAATTGATGGGATCTCCAACCTCCATACATGGGGCCTATTGCAAGATACTCCTCCCCACCAACAGGCAAAGCTCCAGCCTTCTACATTTCTAGCAGCTGGTCCGAAGTCCCCAAAACTTAATGCTACTTATCCTCCTGCCTTACTTTTCCCACCCACCATTCAGTGGCCTTCTGTATATTGGCTTGGGTGATTGGGATAGCTCTTGTTCAGGTGGTATTTATTCACCCTGTTGGAATGAGTATTCCAACCACACACTCATGTTTTTTTTATTAGTTCATTGCGCATTTGTTCATGACTGTTTTATGATGTACAGCATTGTTTGTTCAAACCTTTTCCCAATTAGTTCTCTCATCATTAACGTACTTATATTGACTCTCTTTGTTCTTTAAGAGATGCCTGTAGCGAAAAGCAAGAAAAGAGAAAATAGCGCAAGGCAGACATGACTAGGTTAAGAGGGGGTAGGAAAGACAGGAAAGGGTTAAGAGAAAAAAAAGGTGGGAGTAGAAAATGGGCAGGCTACCTGATTGGTGAGTGGTGTGCAGGGCGGGGTCTTCAACACCCTTAGGTGTGGTTGTGGGGACTCGTCCAATTCAGTCCAGGAGGCAGCAGCAGTGGAGCGAGCTTCCCTTCCACCCTCTCTTGGGGTTTGTTTGGGTGTTTTCGATTCTAGGTTTATTATGGGGCGGTAGTTGGTCTTTGGAGGTGGCACTTAGTTTGAAGCTAAAACTAATGGTTGGGACCCATCGGTGGTATGGTGTGCTCGGGTGTATTCCGGTTAACCAAGGTTCAACTGGAAGGTGGGTTCTGCAATGTGGGTGGTATGTTTTGTCTCCGAGCCCGTGCGTTGCGGCTGGAGGACTAGTTATAGTAGAGGTTCCGCAGGGGGATATCAGTTTTGTTTGGTGCCTTCGAAGACCAACAACTTCTCCTGTATGTTTCTGTTTTAAGAAATGTTTTTTGTGTATTTCAGTTGAGTTGTTATTAAAAGGCCATGTTGGCCATTTTACTCCAACGGTGGTTTGGTTTCACTTTATTGGTATGTTAAAGGGGTATGTGGGGGGGAGGGAGGTGGTGGTGTAGGAGGTCTTAACTAGCACACCTCTTATACACTAGTCATGCCCTTTCTAAGCATATCAGCTTGATATATTCTCATGTATATGCTGGCTTCCTGAAGACCCCTTGTAACGGAACCGGAACCCAGACCACACTGAGTTTTTCCGTTATACCACAGCTTCCCCTGTCCAAACACCATCCACGGACCACACCCTTGAAATCCCTCAGGAAACAGACAGCACCCAGCTCTTCTTAATACACGAAGCCAACTCTTTTATTGTACACAAAACACAGGATATATACAGAGGGCGGGGAAAGACAACCAAGAACAGGAAATACATCATCACCCCTCCCCATCCCACCAAGACACAGAACAATGGGATGAAACACATGGCAAAGGACATTGACCAACCCCCACACCAATACACAAACAGTACATCCCATAATAGTTGGCTGGACAGGAAGACACAGCACAATGGGGGGTAGCACATGGCAAACAGACAATGGACAGCCATGTGGCCGAGAACAAAGGAACACACACTATACACAAGACTCAGACATTCACATACACACCCTGTACCCCTTAACAGGCACAGGGTGCCTTAAACATAATGGGAATTTGGGAAGATGATACAGAGGTCCCCCCACCCCCAAAAGTCACTCCCGTCACACCCTTCTAAGCATCATAGACAACACCCAAGATAACATCTATAAATGCTGAAGGACTTAAAGTGGAGCTCCAGTAAAAACTGTAGCTGCTGACTTTTAAAAAACAGACACTTACCTGTCCGTCGTTCAGGGTGGAGCTATGTCCTCTAACGTCATCACGCCACGTATCACGGCCATTTTGTCAGTTGGAAACAATAAGCAAACCCATACGTTTTTACTACTGTTGGTTTGTAAGTGTATTTCTTCTATTAAACACTTCTTTGCCGCAATACTATGCCACGAGGAGCCTTTGCTTCTCTTTTTACATGCACTTTAAACATCTTGAGTTGGTTTAACGAAGTTTAACCTTACGTTACTGCCTGAGGAGTTATAGTTTTGGTGAAGAAGTCCACGGTTCCATATTTTCTTTCTCATGTTTGCGAAACCACCATTTTAAAATACAGCCTTTGTGGTGCGAGCTGTGGAGGTCCCTCCAGGTGGAGAAGCTTTCTGGTCTCTTCCATGTGATTGATCACAAACGCTGTATAAGACCTCATGCTCTGTGGTCTTGCCTTCTGGTAAGAGGTTGTGTATGGTGTTGGTGGAGGACTTTTTCTTTTTGTGACATCTATCACCTTTTCCCAAAATGTGATATATGAAGGACTTTACCATCACTTTAAGGACTTTTTTTCTTTTTAGGACTTTCTTGTATCTATGCTAATTATGAGAGATTAAACGCTACATTTTGTATCGTTTTTTATTTTTATTGTTACCAGCAATTTTATGTCAGCTGCTCTGAATATTAGACATTTAGTGCGGAATTATTTGTGTTACGCAAAGACAGCAATAACAACTTGACAAAGGGTCTAACCTTTCCATACTCCACCCAAAACTAAAGAAATGCCTTGACTGAGGGACATGCAGAATATCGAGGCTAATATTTACCCTCTAAACCAATAAAACAACCACCCCCTCAACCTTCCCACACCTGAATAACCACAGGACTCTCCTTTTGGTGTAAAACCGGCCATAGCAGCCATTTATTTAACATAACTCTTACATAACACTTCATACAGTACAATCAAATAATAACTGACAGTAATGATCCCAACCGGGTCCAAGGTCTTCGAAGGCACTGTTACTCACATCAATAACTCAGCTGTATCTGACACCCAACGAAAAGGCCCCAGCCACTACTACACCGCCTCGGGGACAATACTACAGTTATGTAGTCCCAGATACAGCCAATGAACTCCCACATTACCAATGTAACCTTATAATTGGGAAGGAACACCCATACCTACGATGGGCCCAACCCATAATCCACCAACTTGTCACTCCAGCACCACCTTCAAAGACCCAGCAACCCTTACCGGCTGCCATGACAAAACAAAACCACCAGACAAACACCTCAGGACACAAAATGCTGATCAAGAAAAGAAAACAAAAAAGGAACCCACACAAAACAAACAACAGGACAAACACAAAGGACAAAACAAATAACAAAAACAAAACAACAAAACAGTGATGGAGAAACCACACCCGTGCTGGCACAAGCTCCGACTGACATCCAACAAGTCCCAACCCCTCTCCTCATCCTGGCAAGACCACCCTCAAGCTCGAATACTCCAGTCAGGTGAGTAACCACCTCTACCTCCTGTATATACTCCCACCCAAATCCAATCTCCGCCTCGTCTGCACGCCCCAGTCATGCTGGCCCTCCCCTTAGCTTCGCTCAGTCCAGGCCCTGACTTTACATTTCCTTTAAACCCATCAGACCCAACAGAATACTGAACACCAGTGATGGCTTCTCCTAAAAATGTATCTTAACCTCAAAAGAAAATCTTGAGAAGTTCATTGCAATCCAAATACTGGTCCCATTTATATATACAGGATTGAGTCCACACTCAGTAGATGATGTTGTTTCATGACTCCATAGTTCTGTAAGAAATGCCGCGGCCAGTGATGTCACACACCCATTCATCACAGTGAGAACTCTTCTACAATCTCTGTTTTTGCTCCTTTTCAGGGTGACTTTGGTGGACCCCTTGTGTGCCAGAGGAGCAGAGCCTGGACCCTGGTTGGTGTTGTGTCCTGGGGCCGCTCTACCTGCTCTCCGTATTTTCCCGGAGTCTACGCCCGCGTCACCTCCCTCAGATCCTGGGTGGACCAGACTGTTGCTGCCAACTAAATACCATCCAATGTCTTTCTGCTACTCAATAAAGTAACTTTTATATTAATACATGGATGTGGATTTTATTAAGGTTCAGAAATTCACAAAATACACAAGAAAACATATTAACCAAAATATATGAATGAGATGTTTAGAAGGTTTCAGATCTTTCACTTTCCTAAGGTGGTGATAGTGTGTCAGTTTCCCTTCTGTTCCATTTACACCTTATCTCTCCCCCACTTCCACATTTTACTTCTTCACCCCCATCTACAGCT